TATAGCGCCACGATGATCCGTTGATTTTCATCATGTGTGTCCTCGTAGTATCAGCGAGTTTCTGAAGAAAGCGACGCCGAATGAAACTTTATCATCACTACGATCCCTGATGGAGCAACTCCACGACACATTCCTAAAGAATTGACCAACGCCGAACGCTTTATGCTTCATCCCTTGTCTATAAATAGTTTTTGAGACCTGGCTTTATCGATGTCGAATCAATCCACTATGGTCTCAGATGACGTTTTCAAGGCTTTCAGCGTTGATTCGCAGCGAAATTATGGTATGTAACACTTTCTGCTTCGGCAATGCTCAACTCCAGACGAAATATGTTTGTACAATTTTCGTCTCGACTTGGTTGAATCGTGCAGTAATTATGATAGTGAGTGACGAGGACGAGAATGCAGTCCTACAAATGCAGTTCATACCAATGATTGAGCTAATTCGACTGAAATCGGCTAGTTAAGCTAACTTATAGTGATACTGGTAGTCTTAATATAACTATACTCGCGATGTTTCCTTCATTTTCATATCCAGCTTAGAAAACCAGCGATTAGAAATGCTGCAGCTACGCAACTAGTTTGCTACTGATCACATGAAAATTCCATCGGAGCGTATTGGTGAATAAGAACGCGATGGTCATTGAAAATAACTTTTTGCTTTTACCAGCGGCAGCGAGATATTCAGAGAACTGAAGTCGATCTGGCAACTTTTTCCGAAGAACTGCGGCTCCTTGTCATATACATGGTGCTTAAATGTTATGATCTCTTCGGAATGACTTGTGAACGATCTGACAGATTTTTTTATGACATTAGTTTAATACTCTAAACGTCGTCCAATGAACATTTTCAAAAAATCCACATCAGAAATACTTATTCTAGAAATATCAGAAGTTTGCAAGACTTTGAACCATCTACCCTTTTCCTGTGCTGAAAAGTAACGAACAAGCTCTTTTCGCGATCAACAGCCAGATTAATCGTCCGTGGCTTGATTGCGAAGCGCTTGTAGCACGAAAAGCCGATCTCAACTTTTTTTTCTCAGTTATAGCTCGCATTAACAGATTACAAATCACCTTCAGTAGAATGCCATTCAGTGACAGTAAGAATAAATTTGCGTGAGGAACACTACGGTAGTCACCTGTAGAACTTTTCCTCCTGTTAATCCCTGACTGACATATGTGGGCGCTAGCAAAGTTTTCATCTGCGTCAGTTGTGTGCAAAAGCAGCCTAGTAAGTTCAGCTTGTTCTAGAGATTAAGTGAGCATCTTTTTCTTCAGGATTTTGGTCTAGAACTCCGATCGTCGAATAGGTGGCTTCTTCACTTTGCGTTTAAAACCCCGTGGAACATCACGTCTTCGGCCCACCTGATTTTCGACATCTCTTCATGCACAACACCGTCTATAACCCGTTTGGCTAAAAAGATGGGCATGGAGTTGGGTGCCCTTTGTTTCCTTCACTGCATTCTCGATGCTCTTATAAGCTCCTCAAGCCGCTCTCCACCACCTGTTTAACCCTGGTGCTAAGTCGTCCATCATGCTGACTTTCCAACCCATATGGACATAGTTAGAACATTCGGAGGTATTCGCTATGTTAAGCATGAATGGGACATATAAAACTAATCTGTTCCTCATGAACATGGTTTTTGAGATTTAGAAGAATTCCAGTCATTCCAAAGGCGTTATCAAAGTCGGCAAGCATTTGTTTCGCTTGGCTAATACTCGTTATTATAAGAACGATGTATGTCATCAGTAATGCAAAGATGTTGATGCCGACCACCGATTTTTACCCCGTTATTGCACCATTTCAATCTTGAGATAACGTTTTTAAGTGTAACGTTTTTTAGTAGATGAAAGCGCGACAAAGCAGTCTGCTTTACCTTCGGAATACTTCCGTCTCACATCCACAGTTAAATCGTCTCATATTTAAAAGTCCCGTAACTACAGCAGTAATATGCAAATATTTGAATTACCTATGGAAATCGAATTCTTTCATCTGATCACCTGAATGAGAAGCTAGTCACGTATGATGCTCCAGTCTCTTTGCCAAATATAAACAGCCCTCAAACGGGAATGGCTTTAGCTTTGGTCCATGATTACTGCGTCAGTACACTACATTTACCACGAAGCATTAATAAACATTGTTTCGGACTAGTCATCACGGCACAATTCGCCCTTACTAACAAATACCAGTAGCCACATCACATTTGTGCGTAATATACAGCATGAAGCTAAATTCGTATAAGAAACAGATTATACTTTCGGAAAGGTGGCCACAATGTTTCCTTGAATACTGAGGGATTCCCTCGACAGCGTCACAATCACAACCAAATCTAGTGTGCTTAACCACACAGATTGAAAGGCGCTCTTAATTGAACAGACCTCCATTTGTAACGGAATTATCCTGCAGTACAGCAGCGTCCTTCCATAAACTGTGAAATTGGTCAGCTGAAGCCACTCAACATCGGCAACGCGATACTACCTCTCACCGTACAGTTCCTGTCTGACAACAGTACCACTACAATTGGTATCGCTGCATGGTCGCTTTGTAACAAAAAAAAAACCATTTTAAAGCAGAATAGCGACTAGCTCTTCAATTTAACTTCTCGTGCCATATAAAGTTCTGAAATCTATGAACAGTGGAATCAGTGGAGCGAACTAGTTCGTTTCGAAAGACAATGTCTCAAATATTGACTGACTTTTAGATTTAGACCAAAGAGTTTGAAAAGAACAAACTTGTAAAAAAACTTCGAGGTTTCTGTTTTTACGTTAGCATTACTTAAAAGTCTAGATGCTCTACTCTGAAATGTTGTGGGGATCCAGCACTTTTTTGCTCAGTTCATTTCCTTGCAATCATCGTCCATTGCGTTTTCATACATTCGATTGCTGTCTTGCAATCTGTTAAGTACCTCATTAAAAGCTTTAGAGTTATTATGCTGACTAGTATTCGACTTCAGTTGCCAGAAGGATTCGGAGATACTCGTTCAAGGCTAGTCGTACTACAACGTACTCAGATGTTCACCTCATTACGTTGCCGGTTCTCTTGTCATTGGATGGATTCCCACATTGTCATTAGGACTCCTTCAAAAAGGCATCGAAATCGGCGATTAGTCGCGCGACCAATTGGTGATATAACAGGCTGAATACTTTTTACGTTTATAATAGATCTTAATAGCCTGGGTTAAAAGGCTATTAGCCTTAATAGCCTTTTCAAGAGCAACAATGCTAACATAGCTGTGTCATGCCTTCGTATCCACTGAGGTAGGAGTTAGAACCTGCTAAGTCATATCCCTCTTGTTTTTAATCAAAGCGAGTTCTTCGTGTTGTTTGAGTAAGATCTACGAAATACGTGAAAGGAAACCGCACTGAATGGTGGCACAGCTCGAAGTCGTGATTTTGAACTTCCTGATGAAGTGTATTCCTACTTTAGCATGGTAATGCTTCTAAAACTTTCTTCATTAGTGTGAAGCAGTTGTGCTTTAAATCCATAAGATTCACCATCAATACCAGTGCTGTGACTTTTTTTTATTGTTTTCGATCTCCATAATCGTCAGGTCCTTTCGCTCGAAACGACATTCGACCTTGTAGTGTACGAAGAGAAAGTGGAGAATGAAACCAGAAGAAAAAGGTACCGCAGAGAAAAAAAATCGGGTTCCTCGGGCAAACTAGCCGCTAACGAATATCTCTGAACAAGCTGTTGAATGAAATGTGATGTAGCTGGCTTGAAGACGAGAAAGCAAAGCGAGAATCTATTTTTTTCACGAGGCGAAAGTATTTTTTTCGACATCTAGCTGTAATGAAAGCAACCGGATTTCTTTTACAAACAGCAAGCTTAAGGAATTTTTTTTGTCTAAGAAAACAAACTTACTCAATCCTGGAAAATTGGACCAGGCAATAGCGTCGCTCCTATTCCAAGTAAGGTTTACTGGAATTCGGTAACGACAATCTCGTCATGCGACTCTTCACGACAAGTTGTCATCGTAATCATCCTTCTCACTAGTTTAATACAATGTATGATAATAATGATTTGCTAACGTAATGGCAACATAACAATATATTATTTATTTTATTTCGTTTTAATTCATATGACCCGTATTGACGTCTACCGCGCGGATCCCACTCACATTCGATTCGTTTCCTCGCATCCATTGTCCGCGAAGATCTTCCAACTTCTACGTAGGGCTTCGGCTGCTGCTTGAGGATTTTCATTTAACCTTGAATATCGTAGAATACTTGGTCGAGCAATTCTCCCTGGAGTTCTGAAATAGCTGTGCTGGAGCGTTCCCAATTGGATTGCAGAGAGTGATTTTTTCCCAGGTAAGTCCGGTACCTTTTTGTTATGTTCCTATTTTAGTTTAAAATTGGCACGTAATAATAAAAGTAACAATAATAATAAAGAGTTTTCCGGTTTTATGTCAGCTTTTCTGAAGATAATGTTTCGCATTCATGTTCGACTTGGAAATCATGAAGATGTCTATCATAGTTGAGAAATGGCCGTGAATGTGTTTTGTGTTTGGCGACAAGCTGATGATGGGCTAGTCAATGTTTCCTGTTATTGTGCTAAAGAAGGCACGACGTTTAGCCTACGGATAAGAATCAATTCATCAGGTCGTCAATCGTGCGTCGACGAAAGTGTATGCAGCTGTTCTTGGAATGAGGAAATGATTGAAAATTATCAAGCAGATACCATTTTTAACCATCGTTACTCCATTTTTGAAGTCTTATAGGGCGAGCTAATGATCTCTATAGGACTCATGAATAAGAATACATTGTGACCGGCATAACTTCTCTAGAAGTCATTTCCATTCCACTAGGCTTGCTTTAGCGCACAAACAGAACTTTTTCCCGCAATTCGTCAGTGTTTCTTGTTCAGGAGGCACAGGGTTGTTAATAAAAGGATTAAAGGAAAAAACTCTCGTCGTTGAACAAACCGTGAAGAATGCGCCATGCATTCGACTTCATTAAGCATCGTTGGAGGTGATTGAATGTATATCTTGCCTTTACAATGACTCGCGGTGGCCTACCGGTGTATCGAGCCGGTGCTGCTATCCTCCTAGACAAGTCTGGTACCAATTTGCTCACCCCGAAGGGTTGGAAGGCTTGGTGAACCATGAGTACTGGGATCGATTCCACACATGTTGCAGGGCGCCTCCAACCACTGCACGACACACTCCCTAGGGTTGTTAATATCATGGTTTATTCAATACAGTACTAGAACATGCGACTCAGCGATTCGCCTTTTCAGAGGTTGGAAAGGTCAAGTTAGTTGCATCCAAATCCCTTCATTAACCTCAACGGAAAACCCACGAAACATATACTTCAATCGTATCGACTTCCACTTCTTCTTCTTTCTTCAACCTGTCCTTTTTCCGCGCTTCCTGCAAGCAATCTAAAGTTTATCTAACACAGAGGTTGTGACGCATGTCGACCGGAAAACGCTCTATTGTGTCATTAGAAATTCCTTGAACAAGTTCGCTGACCGAAAATTTGATTCCCAGTTGACTCTTATTTCAATTCTAATCAATATTTTGGATCATAGTTATCGTATAGCATGGTCAGGGATAATGAATACAGAAATGGACTCGGCATAAACTGCAAAACAGTTCCAAACATAGAAAACACTGTGTTTGCATGATGCACTACACTAGTATACAGAAAATTGTAGCATGCACCACATTCATTTCCAAACAACGATAGAGCACATTCTCTTTTACAATACATTAATGTTCATACCCCTTCAAGTTTACTACTTATGGGAAAAGTGCTGTTTATTGTCTAGAAAACAGCAAGTCCATAAGGGCTAAAAATTAAGCTCTTTAGGAGCCATCGCATAAGTGTTATGCTCTAGAAAGAAAACGACTAGAGGTAGTTGTTTTTTTTATGCGAATGAATGGAAAGGTCTGTTTTCAACGGTTGAGGAACGATAATACAATTTCTACGCTCGTATCTCACTAATGAACTGGTCATAACTCTAGAAATTGACATATCATTCATGACCAATTAGTTTGCTTTCCTTTCTCTAGCAAAAGTCACTTTTACTGTTGCACTTTTGAAAGTCTATCGTAAAGCAATGACAATAGTGATACCGTCGCAGTTAACATTTGAATTACAGAGGGTCCTCATAAGTGATCCACAGAGACATTTACCAACTGTCAGCATGAAGAATTTGTTTCATTTGACGAAAAGACTTCTCCCACAACAGTGATGATAAGTGGGATAAACTCACTTCGTCTTGAGTTTCTAAACATATTATATAGAATTATTCAATCGTTTATGAGCGTAGGTGATCCTACAGGGATGGTGTACTCCTACAGGATATCGTAGTCCAACACTTAGAAATATGCTTTCATCACAGTGAGGCGATGGTAAGATATTAATTGAGTTGACAAAGACAAAAACACAGGAAATCTGTAAGAGACCGCAAAAATCGACTTCACTGAGCAACGCAGAGATCCACTTAAACAGACTAGGTCGGATTTCAAGTGCTTCTTCTTAATGTAGTAGATTTCCTTTGTACCTAAACTCCAAAAAAACCCACTTATATGTGGTCGTATTCCAAATCAGGAATGTCACTATATCATTATTAGTCACCGGAAGTAGGCGAAGAGAGAATGAGTGAAAGAGAGACAAAGAACTTTTTCTCTCGTCTTCCGCACCTATAAAGCAAAACTAAAGATAGTACCGTTAACCAAAGTGGAACAGTACCAGGGCTAATGAGTTCTTCTTCCTCTTTTCTTTTAACTCTCATTTCCATTATTCTAGTTCTTTATGGTATCTCGTTTCCTCTTGAATAATATTCTTGTAGTCTTCTCTTTTCGTTATTCATCACCTTCTGCCAGGTCTTCTGTTCAGTGAATTTGTGGGCGGAGGCTAGTTACAAAACAGCTTATATGCGATCAATTCTCTAACGGGCTACTTCTTTTGCGGCTCCGAACTGGACATTCGACGATTTTCAGGTTCATCCTTGTCCGCCTCCTATAAAGCCTCCCAACTGGGCGTTGCTTACCGCTTGTCCGGCTTCGACAAAGAGAACGACATGATCACATTCGTAAGTGCAATGATAGTATGCTTTATTTCCTTTCGTTTTTCTCCGTTTTTTTTCTGTTTAGAAACTTTGCTACCCTTTTGTTTTTAGTTTTTATTGCTTTTTAGAAGTAGGTGATTACAATTCTGGCGACTGAGATTGCGAATTCAGCAACTAGCGTTTTGCGTTTTTTAAAAGAACACAATTATGCTCAAACGACTAAATTATATCGTCAGTGTAATATCTTTTCAGTAAAGTATATTTCAATTTTTGACTGCACTTACTTATTACACCTTTCCAACGAAAAAGGATGGCTGCAGCTTTCAGTGTATTTTAGTTAGTTCTGCTATTGGTTGAAGTGTCATTAGCCTGTATTGGTGGCGGTCCTCCTGGTGGTGGTGCATGTTGTGCACCAACCATATGGTCTTGTTCAGCGCCATGTCAACCGAGGTGAGAAATATATTCATTAGTTCCTTTCTTTCCTCTAAGCAATCCATTTTAAATTTCAATCGCTCTCAACATTCATTCCGATCATCACTTCAAAGCTTAACATTAATACGTCAGAGAGGTTTCTTTTAAAAATATCAGTTGACTTGGCTAACACTTCAGCTGTGAGACTCGATTACCTCTACCTGTAGTCAGTTTTTGTCGTTTTCGTTAGGCCACTTATCAAGTAACATTGACATATAGTTGAAATCCTAACTTGTGGATATATATTCCTATAAAAGTATAGTAATCCGTCTCTTAGCATTTTTTCTGCAAATCGGCCTGAAATGTCGGCACGATCTCATTATTTGCAAGAGCTTCCAAAGGATTCCAACAGGCAGCAGAGTTAAGTTGTTAAAAAGATTAGGCTAGTTGAAACAACTCAAGCCACACTCGGAACATTAAAATGCTTTTTTGGTACTGCCTAACAAGATGAATGTCTCAATAACTTTTTCTAAAGTGCGCTTTGTTAATACAGGACTTCTCACCATTACAAAACTTCCTCTTCCCAATGTTTCCTATACTATTCGCTAGATTTTTCCAGCTTTGATCACTCAGTAATAATACGTTTACGAGCATAAAAAGGATAAATCACTGATCACTTTGATCACTTCCTTAGAGGTCTGCTACGCATTAGGCTCCATTCGTGACATTGTAAAGGCAATTGAATAAATATTTGATCTATACCGTGCCTCTTGTAGCTTCCGGTCATTGTTTTTACTCTTGCCCTTAAAGACAGTGAGATCGTGGTTTTTGTGTCGTTGGCATCGAAACAACGACGATGTGTCTACGAAGGCGCATTTTTAATCGAATTACACCTACAAGTATAGTACTCAAAACTTGTAATCGAGATGTTGTTTCGAACACGATAGGGAATACAGTAGTTGGAGTTTGTTGTAAAGGCTTGCTCAAATCCACAGTCATAATGAGGAGCGTAGTTTCCAAAAGAACACCTTTTGTGCCTTTGAACAGAGCGAATTAACTTCAAAACAATAGTTTAGCTCAACGTGTCCGTATGGAATTGGAAGCATCCGCTTCTAACCGACGATTTTTTCCAGAAAACTCTAGATATCCAATGAGCATCATTTTCCAGGAAAGTTCATAAGTGGGCCAAAGCGATCAAGAACAATGAAAATCAAAAGCGAAAAGAGAAGTTGACCGCATTGAAGTGATACAATGTTATATAATGGTTTTCCAGTATAGGTTAATGTATTTGTCACATATTGACGAGGAATTTTAAGTACTACAGATACAAACCGTTTTGTTTGTAATGAATTAGGCCAAAACAGAAAAGTATTGCTACAAAAAGTGGGATTATCCCTAAGAGAATCCGTGGTGTGTGTCAGATTTCTTACGACAGAGTGCAATAAATAGCGCAGTGCAATGAGGCGTTACTGTCGCGCACACGTGGCTGTTTTAGTAGCCTGTTTCGATACCATTCAGTTCCTATTTAGAATGAATTGAATTGGATGGCAACTATCACATCTATGCGTTTATTCCGCTTAAGAGATGTGCGAAATTAAAACCAGCTATACGGTGAATAATCTAATCAAAAATATTCACGAAGACATTTACGCTTCATTCAACTATGAAAAGAAGTCCTAGGACCGACTTTCTATTAACCTCGAAAAATAGGAAAGAAAAGATTCTTCACAAATTCACAAGTTAAAAGTCTATTTAGTGATAGCTTTAACTACTAAACTCGTTTCTGATATTGACAGGCTAGTGTCATCGCTTTCGCAGATCGCATGTTAAGGCCTAGCTGATGGGTTCCGGAGGTAAGACGCGCCTGAATTGGCTTGCGTACACGAGGGTGACCTTGTATAGTTATGAGGGAATGAAGGGCGAATTTTGCTATTGGATTGAGATATTCTAAGAGCAACTAACATTATACAAATTAAACTTTATTAATTCTCTTCTAAACAATTTTTTTGTTCTGCACTACCCGTCTTCATAATTACTGTGCGGATTTCGGCATTTGTTTCATTGGATTCGTTTCCTCGCGTCCATCGCCCGTGAAGGTCTTCTAACTTTTTTCGTGTATTCGGCTGCAGCTTGAAGACTTTCTCTTCGCCATGCATTTCGTTAAGTGCTGATTGAGTCGACTCTCTCTGGAGCGCTGGGATAGCTGCACTAGAGCGTTCCTACTCTGATGGCAGGGTGTTGCAGGGAGTACACTATTTCCAGACTCGACCAATTTCTCGAGCACCCAGGGAACGGAGGCTTGGTGAACCCGCAGAGACGTCGAGTCAGCAAGTGTTCGTTATGATAGGCATCATTACTACCACGCTACCCTCCATATAGTGCAGAATATATACTAGATTAGTCAGAAAACCCAAAAAGGCATGTGATTTAATTTGCTTAAACTTATTGCCCAAACGGCTCGTCTTATTCACAATTTCTACAGCTACCACGTTCACGTTAGCTACGTTGTTCCTCATATCAGTAAAATAGAAGTACTAGCAAATGTCTAGAAATCTTTTCCGTTTTTTTTTAAATTTTCACTTTTTTAAACACTATTGTTCTTTAAATTGCTGCCGGGCAACTCGTCCGCCCAACCGCTGCTCAGCGAATTTCCGAAGAGGTTCTCATCGCTTTAATGCGCTTTTATTGAATATAGACAACTTTTTTCTTATTACGACTAATATTTTTATGCAATGTTGTATCCTCGAGAAAAATATCCGGCGCCGATGTCGTGATGCTCTGTTGGTCAGGATAGGACGATAACATTGCCTAGTAAATGAGGACTTAAGCGAAAAATTTGGTGAACTCCAAACTAAGAACAACAAGTTTAGAAAACACTAAGAAACTTCACCTAAATTGTGTCGTATTACTTGAAATAATCGGATAAAGAAAAAAAAGTGCTGCGGAATGAAAGAAAAGTAAAGAGGACATGAAGTCGAGGTCATCGCTAAGGTGGAACAAAGTAATGTTAGAGCTAGTTCATTGAGTCATAAGGTCATAAGAATCATGAAATGATTTTTGCTCAGTACTCAAATTATTTCAGGCGAAATTTTAGTAATAAAAGACGTTATTGCCTATTCTACCAATACTTTTTCAAGAAAAACCTTACTCATTTTATGGACGTCTTTAGGTTTCACTTTTTCACAAACATCAAGTTCACAAGTGAGAGCAAAAAAAACCAATCCATCGATGCCTATATCCACTCAGTCGACTTGCATTCCTACATAGAAGATCGTTTCAACAAGTCCAAAAACAACTTAGGCATTATAAACAAGCCTCTGACTCATTTCGTTTAAAGTGATGCCTGAGAGAAGCCGGCTATCTATTGATAACAAACAAAAGAGTAACCAATTAAAGTGGCAGTTCGTCAGTTCCTCACAATGAAAGTTAGACAATGAAAAAAACTTGGTTGTTTAGTCCTAAATCAAAGAGTAACCAGCATCAATGCTAAAATCGGTACGACGGATTTAAATAATAGTGCGGTTGAACTTGAACTTCTACACAAACGTCGTAGTAAAGGATAGAAAAATGAAAGTAAGTGTTCGGTTTTGATCAATTCCTGTGGGATGCGGTGTGCATTCGTGTTCGTCCAGCACCGTAAAGGTGATTGAATAAAGTCAAGTTAAGTTAGTATTTTTACCTTCCCCAAAAACTCCTAGTACAACTTTCCACACCGTGTAATGAAATGCTCGGCGGAACCGGTGTTCGTAATCGAACCTGAACCGATTCAATGTGCATTCTAGGACACCTCTTACCACAACTCTATAGACGCCCCCAAAGAAATGGAACTAAATGAAGCTAAAATAAAGTTCTATAAAACATTTTCGTGCGTTGCAGGCCAGCACCAGTTCTACCACCAATTCCGCCTCCTCCTCCACCTCCACCAATACCTCCACCACGGCAACCGCAACCAGTTCCACTACCTCCATTTCCATATCAGCCTCGATATGTTTACGCTAAGGTACTACCACCACAGCCATCACCTTACGGGAGCTTACCACTACAGTTTGTACCACAGCCACCGCCTTCACCAAAGTTTGGAGGTACGTTTAATACTATCAAAATAAAATCGGAAAAGAGTAAATAATAAAATTTTAACTCTGCGTTGCATCTAAATCCCTTTCTAGCAGTTAGTGCACTGATGGCCTTTTGTGGACATTTTCATGTCTTTGGCAAAATTTTTTCAACCATTTTTATAAGGAAATCTTATAAAGTCGGCTGATCTACGTTTTTTGAGGTTTAGTGCAACGTTCAGAGCGTTGAGCTGCTTAACCATCCTTATAGTGGTGGAGGAAACGCCCACTAATGCTGCCAATGTCGAATAGATGTTTTTTCCAAAGCTGCCATGTTTTCATCTCTCTTCATTATTTTTATCATCACTCGAATTATGTCTACTTTTGAACATAAATTGTACCTGCTTATTACGGAGGCCGTGAAGAATCTCTCGCAAATCTTTACAAACCTTCGATAAATTTTCTATATTCCTCTCACGTAACTAGAAAAACGCTCTTGTATTTCAGGATATTCACCGGTGCACTTCATTTCTCCACAAGGTTTGTGTTTTTTAAAATCGTCCTTTTATTAATAGAACCAGAATGGCTTTAGATCAATAGTCGTCGTAACCATTAATTTATAGAGAGTTACATAAAACCCAGCCCACAACCACTTCCTCTTTATTCAATACAGAGGCCAGGTCAAAAACTAGTGGAACCACGTATAAAAGTCAGTTGTTTTTTTTTTCTTTAAGTTAAGTTCTGTAATTAAAGACATTGCTTTACTTGAAATATTGATCATCATCAAATACGGCCAATAACACGATAATTAAAGCTAAATCCGGAAACGTAAGTGCTTTGCTTTTTGAGAAGAAGACCGTCGGAACACAGTAACCGTGATTTTTCTAAAAGGACTATAAAAAAGAAAAACGAGTAGAATAAGCTTCTTTTGAAAAGACTACAGTGATTGATCACCGCTATTGCGAAGTTTGAGGTGACAAAGAGTTTTAGATTGTGCACTCATCGTAGATTGTGATGAATGGTTGGTCGGCCACGTTTTTTGGTCCCATAAATCAGCAATTATATTTGGATCAGTTGAATTCTTAGGCCTCATACTTTTTCAAGATCTCGTCTAACCAGTGTTTTTCTAGTTTGACAAGAATTCCTTTCAATCGAGTCTCGACAACTGCGCCCAGGCTTTTTCAGCTCGTCATCGCTTACCACTTTGTGATTTTCTTCTGACACATTGATATGATGACAGTAGATCTTGACACTGTTATACCTGTAGCTAGAATTTTTGATTGAAGTGCTGAACATTTTCACAGTCTGGCATAGCCCATCGTGGAACGATAAATCCTCCGCTGTAGATCGGAGTTCCACATGCCCGTCAGAAATCCGGCAAGTATTGTTCAATCGGAAACGTTGCCGAACACGTTGTAGGGAAGAAATGCATCAATATGATCTGGCCAAAGTCACTATCAGCCAATGTTTTTCTTCCGAACGATTTCAAGCGTGGTAAACTTGATGTTGGAAGAGTGTCATTTGATTTAGTCATTAACAACGATGAATCGGAATCGCCTGGAAGTTCGGATCGTATGCATCTGATCCGATCTTATAAATGAAATTCCACACGACGGAATAATTTAGGATACAGATAAGTATCAGCAGCTTATCGTCAATACGTCAGAAGAATATCAAGCATCTACACCGCTGTTAAAATATCTCTACCATCTTTTGAAGTCGTAACGGTGTGTACGTATGTATATACGCTTGTCTGTACTTGTGTGTATGTGCCGATCTTGCTGTCAAAGGGAAATTTTCAAGGAGGATGACTAAAGTTCTTGTTTCACCTTACCTATCCCATAGTAAAGACAACCTTTGCCGACCACAAAAAGATGTTTTCATGAATTCATTCCTCAAATATTTCTTTTCTTTTTTCGTTACGAGCCAACGGATTGATCTAGTGACTGCAAACCTGACTGAGTCGTTAGCCGTCGTCGTTAGCCTTTGAGTTTCTTATAGATCGCCTTGATTGACGTCTTGTTCGAAGGAGTTCGAATATGCAGAAGAGTGCAGCTAAAAGGAAAGACAAAAAAATTCATAAGCAATGAAAGCAAAACAACAATAAAAAAAACGATATAGTTGCAAGTGAAAAGTAGAGAGGGGGAGAGAGATAGCTCAAAAGAAAGTACTTAAAAGGTTGCAACAGTATTCATTTTCAAAAGCAATATTATTAGCTTAGATTCGGCGCAAATTTATCCGTCCAGTAGTACAAATCTTTTGGAAGAAACTGGTAAAATTCAACTCCTTAGATCGTTTCATAACCAGTACCACATCCAGAAAATGTTCTCTGCCCCGAAAGCAATAGAAAATTTTGTACGAATGTTTCTCATTTCAACCGCAATGATACAGTGATGTTGAGATGTGCTCAGAACTCGGAACCTCAACTGCGCTTCGAGCCAACCATTACCCTTTCAGCGTGCACATGTGTTACCCACTGCTCCAACTCAGACCCCTGCTTTGCGTTCTTTCGACCGCACCCATCTACAGGATTAATCTGGGCAGGAAAAATTGGAATTAAAGCCATTTAAGCTGAAGCCGCATTCGAAATCAGAATGTTTTAATTTTCATTTAGTGCCTCTTGCTTTTTGAGGGAGAATAGAAGAAAAGGTAAAGCTATTGGCATTCACCAAATCCTGAGAGTTCTACCATACGTTCAACTCAACCAAGCATCGTTAGATGTGACCGAATACACATCTGGCCTCTAATTTACCTGAAATGCAATCACATTGATGCTGAGATTTGAGCAAAACTCGGAAACTCAGTTGTGCTCCGAACCAGCGATTACCCTTTCCGAGAGCTCACGTGTTATCCACTGCCCCAACGAAGGCCTTTGCTTAACCGTTTCAGCAATCAACAAGTATTTGTCGAAATTTTTGAAATCTCTGTGAATCCTGTCGTCCCTCCAGATTTCCTGCTCTATTTAAATCAATTCGTCTTCCATATTTGGTTCAACATAGCAATGTCACAATATAACCTATTTTTGTAATCCTACAGTTCCTACATTAGCCGGTTTAACGGCGAAGATCTCTAAGCAGGAAGTTTTTCTCTTAATAGGCGTCATTTTAATGCTCTTGACGAATCTGTCGCGGCGAAAACGGATGGTGGTTGAAATAGTTGATAAGAAACCCGTTAAAATCTTTGGTTGACGTCACACCCGATGATGGACTTTTCTTCGAAAAAAACATGAACCACAAACGATTCTAACGAATCCGTTTTGGGATTCGATGCCGTATACTGGCAAGATTGTTCGAATTCGACTGCGATTCTTTAAAGTGATTCCTCTTAACGTTGCCAATGGACGCCATTACGGATAATGTAGACCGATATGTTCTGCTTATCCATGCTTGTAAGGACGTTAACAGTCCTGTTCATGTTCTTGTCCAACACGGTGTTCGATGTTTGATCTATTCCCTCAGTTCTCCTCAACAACTTTCTCGCTGTGGCTGGACTGGAACAGCATGAAAATCTCTATTTACATTTATGTTGAGAAAAAAAAATACAGCAACTAAATAAAAACAAATTTTTCTTTTAGAAAATTTGTCAAAATCCCCTTTGGTTTTGTTGATCATCGGAAATCACCCTTCTTGAAACTGCTGGTCGAGTGGTCATGAAGAAAATCTTCACACTTGCTCATGTAGCACATAAGAGCCACAAAGTAGGCTTTGCTTACTCCAAGGATGCGAACAGTGTTATATTTTCTACACAGTTTCTACACACGCACTTCTACAGTTTATGAGAGTCATCTAGACATTTCTACATTCACTCATTTAGAAGTAGTCCGTGACAAAAAACCTTTTGATGAATTCGTTGTTGGAGACTTCAGCGCCTGATTAGAAACAGCTGAAGTGAAGGAAAATTAGGAATAGGAAAACGAAATGAGAATGGAAACCGTCGTGACTAGTGCAGCTCATACAGAGATCGATCGTACGCTTGTAAAGAAAACGACGAAGCGTTTTTGATACATCCGTGATCCCATCATTCTGTACTAGATCTTACCACTGCTTTCTTCGCACGAAGTCTCGATTCACCCGTAAGTTGGGAAGGAAATTCGGCGCTCACCAACTAAAGGATAAAAAAGGATAAAGCTTTCGGCACTGATGAATTCCTGCGGAATGCGCCATGCATTCGACTTCATTAAACGTCGTTGTAGATGAATGAATGCACATCTGGCCTCTACAATGACTCATTGTGGTCTATCGATGTATCGAGCCAGTCTGCTATCCTCCCAGGTTAGTCTGGTACCAATTCGCAGATCTCGGGAGATGGAAGGCCTGCTGAGCCAGGCGGCGCAAGACCGATCCCAGGTGTGTGTGTGTTGCAGGGCGCCTCCGGACACTGCGTGACACCTGTCCCTTGCCGAACAACTAACGAACCTAAAACTCCATGCTCAATTTCCGACTCAACAATGATTCCGGGTGTCTGTTATGCAGCAGAGGCTTTAGATAATACTTGAAACAGGTTAAGAATGTTGTCCACTACTCCCAGAACACTTAAACGATGTCTTCCGAAATTGAACCTTCATTCAAACGTCTAGTCGAAATGCGCACCTCTGATATTTGAAACCTATCCCATCTTCAGGATTCAGAAGAATATACATCAGTAGCGAAACGGAAAGACGCTTTCATGGCTAACGACAATCATTTGCATTCGCAGATGGGAAGGCTTTTAATAACTCGGAATGATTTTCGCAGACCTCATCATGTTCGAAGCACCTCCACAGACAATGATTGCGTGGAAAGGAAATGAATGGAAATTATGCTCGGGCACGCACTACTAGTGACGCGACGGAGCATCCATGTATTCAAGCAACTATTCCTTTTACCCGTGATCTTCTTGAAGGAGTTTGAGAATCTGGACGAGAGTTTTCCTGCGTGCTTAAATATTCCGTGAAACCCACTCACTAACTTCCGCTATCCTCTAGGAAGATTTACTTCTCCGGACAGTTGAATTTCTTTGTATCCTTCGACTTCCAGCCAGACTAACCTTGCTCTACTAACAAAATTGTTCTTGGAACGCAAAGCACTAGGCAGGCAGCACGAGATGTGCATCTGGTTGCGAAAATCGACATAATGAATGACGTAGCTGCATAACTGAGAAGAACGAAGTTATCGATTTGGTAGCCTTATGATATAATCACAATGACTTAAAAGGCCGACTTTCTATAAAGCTCGGCATAGATAGTTGATATATATTTTTTATATGATCTTGCAAACTGATCTTCTTAAGTTGATGCGAGGTTGGTATAGGTCTTCGTTGTCGTTCTCGTTGTTGTTTTCGTTGCTGACTCTGAGTCCCACTCGTAACAGCACGGATGTGAGGAAGGCGAGATCGCCAAAACGATACCCATCGACCAACAACACCAACCGCAACGAAAACAACAACGACAACGGCAACGAAGACCTATAGCAACGCCAGATCAGCTTAAGAAGATTAGTTTATAAGATCGTATAAATAAATATTATCATAATGGATCTAATGAAGCGGAGCGAATTTTGCCAGTTAAAGTTAGACTGTTGTGAAAGTAAGACTGGATGAAAGACGGTCCGTGGAGAGATAAGCGACAAATCGAAGTTCAATTCTCGCTAAAAACTAGCTATCTTTCAGGAGCAGGACCATAAAAATAATTTCGACAGAGCCGTTTTCAAAGACGAAAAAAGGATGTCGGCAAAAGATAACATATAGGAGAAAAAAATAAGTAAAATAGGAAAAAAACGAATGAAATAAAAAGAGAAATGTCATATAGTATATAGAAATGAAATGTCATTCATAAACTGTGTCAGAGTATGATTTAGCGAGGCTCTTACACTTTAGCAAATGGTCTACCCGCTACCTCGTCCTCCATTACCCATTGAAGACATTCAACAACAATCACAAGAATCCACATGGAAGATGAGACCCGACGGAGTATGCATTTCGTTGTTGACAAAACTTCTACTTATTTTTTACTGGATAAGAAAAGAGGAAAAGATGACAACTGTGTTGTAATGATTTGCCTGAGAATTGTTCACTGTGAAAGTGTTGTGTTGGAACTGAAGTTAATGTGTTTACAATCATTGCAGCCCAAAGATTTGAACAACGTTTTCCATACCAAAGCATCAGCCAAATCGAAAAAACTTCCAGTCTTCGCTTCAACGCCACGAACGCCTGTATGAGTTTATTTCTTCTGTTTTCTCTAAGAACATTCTAATCTAGCCATGCAAAATATGCATATTGATCAATTGTGCGACACCAACAACGCTGAGTTGAAAAGTTAAGTTGAATTCAGTTGAATAACTTTAATCAGTTTGATGTGTAGTAAAACTTCTTCTATTCTTCTGAGGTTTTCTTGGCTCTTCACTTGGTACGAATCACGTTAATATCATGGGAACCCTTCATTTTGCCTAACAATTAAAATAAAGTTTCTTTAAAATAAAACATAAAAATATAGAGCTAGCTGAGAGGCAAGCGAAACGAAAGACCTGCTTGGTGTGGTGGTGAACGCGTTACTCCCCGGAAAGGACAATAGCATGTTTATTCCTCACCGCGTACACCTGCGGTCCGGAGTTTTGCAAATATCTCA